GAATTTCATTTTCTCACTATTCTCATCATTGCCATCACTTTCATAGGTAAGTTGAGGTTAGTCACGATTAAGGTGAATCGCGTAATTAAGATGAGGTTAGTCACTAATGAGGTCACTTCGCACCTCGGCGCGAAGCAATGTCATTCGAGACTAACGTCCCACACCCGGCCTACAATGACTTGCGATGGCCAGCGGATAAACAAGTCAGCGCTTTTATCCTCCCAGACACTGTTGGGTAGCCGCTCGTTCGGACTTCTGTACTTACCAGTTAGTATCAATTAACCAGTTTAAGGGGAATGGAAGGCCTGGTTGGCTTGGTTTAGTATCATTCAGGGATTCGATCCCTAGACCATGTATATGATAGAGGGCCATTCGCCATAGTAAAGGAGAGCCCCAAATCTTTCGCCTAACTTATTGTAAGTAGCAACTTCATATCATCCATCACTCCTTCGTTCTCTTAATACCTAGTCAACCGCATTAGGTAATGGTGATGAACATGGGAAAGAATTCTCAAAGTGTAGGAACCCGAACGAGCGATTACTCAACAGAGGCGTTGTTTGGCCAATGACTATCAGAGGAAAAAGTGGAATCTGGAAGTTGGTGATGAATTCAGCCAAAAAAAGTTGAATTTCCCTTCAATCGTAACCAGATAACAGAGAGTAGCACGGCTTACAGCTGGGTATCGCGCATAATAACGACTTTTTACGAAAGGTTCGGGCAAGGACACAGAGAGAAGTTAGATGAGGAGTAATTGAAGTTCATATTCACTTTCACGACCTTTTCCCGCTCCTCCGTCCCTTTATACCCTCCACAGCCCTATGATGAAAGGGAAGATCGTCAAGTATTTATGTGAACCGTTTCCCTCATCCTGCACCTCGAAAGAAAGAGAAAATTGGAAAAGCATTTGTGAAATAGAGGCGAAAGTTTGACGAGGAGATCAAGAGCTATATTTAGAAGCAATCCTTTTTTGCCGGAAATATTGATTAGAAATCAATAGGGGAGTTGTCCTCAGTTATATAGCGGCTTCAGTAAATAAGGACGGCCCACACACCTTTTTCGTCTCATTCGCGATGTAGGCGGTGACATTCTCATCTGATCTGATGGCGTATGTCCAGCATGTTCCAGACAAAATCGTACGTATACGCTGCTAAAATCGAGACAAAATATTATTACTATAAATAAATAACCTTTGAAATACCCTTGGAAGTAGGGGACGTACTCACCCATCAACTCTTTCCATTACATGAACAAACGCTGTACATGACACGGTGGTTCCTTCGGATTCATAGAATCGAGGCGATTCCGAAAGACGACGTCGTTTGAGCATCGGAAATACGCGACGACGACACAAAAGGTAGTATTCCTGAAATGCGTGGCTGCATTGTAAATGGAACTCATGGAACAAGTGGGCAAAGTGAAAAAACAGAAACAGAACGAAATAAAATTGAAAAAAGTAATGGAAAAACCAAGTATCTAACCTTATCTTCACCGGACGGTCCCTCTTCTGAACCAATATAGCCGCCTTCTGTTCGGGAATCCTCCACCTTTGACAGCCATGCCTGAAAGAATTATTTAAAATTTTTACTTTCAAAGAAAAAAGGCAGTGGCTCCCGCTAGGAACCCTTTTCTCTTCGACATCTACCACCTGTGAGCCATAATTCCTGTAGCCAGTGCGGAACGAAAACAATAGCAACAATACTTAAATGTAAGCGACACCAACAAATAAACAGCACTACCTCAAATCCCCCACAACCTGGCTATCGAGTATCTATCCTACTTCCAATGAGCCAAACCTCTGGCAATCCCAGGAACAATAACAAAGTAAAAAGCCTGCTGCCAGTCACCCATTACGGGCAAATAGTACATGCCAATACCTCCGCGTACCTATCGAGTTTCACTCCAGTAACGAAGAAATATTCGAAAGGTACGCGGATGCTGTAGTACCACATGGGCTACAGGTGTTAAGAAGATTTATTTACTTATATTACGAAAATATTCAATTTTTCATACTTTCAGCTAAGTTTAGTGGCAGATAACAAACATCGGAGCTATCAAAGCACCATAGATGGTGAACAGGGATATGGAACGAACTACCTTCCGATTAATCACTATATTCAGCCTTTTTCCACTGCACTACCCCCGATTAGATATAGGGGAGTTGCCCACACAAGGAACACGTTCAACCTTTTGGCCAAATCTTGCTGCACATTTGATAAGGAAGTAATGGAGGTGATTGTAACGCTGATGACAACTAGTCAAAATTACGAAGCAGTTAAAGGGCAATGTTTCAAGGTTATTTCCAAATTCAAAGTGGACGAGTTTTCGGGCAATCGCCGAGAGCTCGTTATTTGTCTTTCCGAAGTGGTTTTTTGTGGCCGAGAATAAGTGTTTATATGCACTTTGTGACATTTGCGTTGGCATTCATCGCTATTACACAAAAATAAAATCACTAATTTGTTTCACGTGAACTGGAATTGGGTGGGACTGGCAATGAAGGGCGGAGCTGCCCGAGTTGGCGGGAATTGATTCTGTCGCAGAATACACCCCCACAGATCTTTTTTTTCTTTAGTCTCTTGGCCTGGCCGACAAAATTATCGAACCCATTGATATAGATTGCGTAGGAAGGATAGAAATAATCGAGAAATCACCTGTAATTGCATGCCATCATCAAAAAGTTGTTCCTGAATGGGAGCTGGAGTGCCATGGGAACGTGACACATGATCACATAACTGTTCGGGTGTTTCCAAATCACCACAATGGCAACATGGACATACAATTGAAATCGATGACATCTGAAAATCAAACTGCTGAGGTCGAAATCATATGACGGACATACATATGCCGATTTACTATTGAGACCCATTCACGAAGACAAACACGGGCAGGAGAAATATGTACATTTGAATAAACTTCAAAAGATTCAAAGCCATTTATGGGGAACAGAGGGGGCCTACTTCGAAAAAGACGTTCTACGGTGCGTCAATACCTAACAACAGGCGAGAAAGTTGATTATTGGACCCAAACTAAGCAGGATTTCCCTGCCAGAGGTCCTGGGGCTCTCACTGCTGGACAAATCTGTACTAACAACAAGAACTACAGAAGTTACGCTTCGAAAAAGGAACAATACAAGAAAAAGCCTAACTGGATCAGAGCAGTGTGTGAAGAAAGAGATTTTTCATGGATGCTGTGGGACTCCTATATAGGGAACAAAGCAGAAACATCTATACATCTGGGTATTAACGAGTAGGATCGAACCGGTAATGAGCCATAAAAAGGCAGTCGATGTGACTTCAATGAAAAAGCAAAGATGATTGTTTGGTGAGAAATCAAGGAGCAGAAGCAGCCAATGATAATGCCGTCAAAAGCCTTAATCAGCTTCTTATCCAGAGCTCCTCTTATTGATCATGTCATTCAATTTTCGCAAACAAAAGAAATTGTTCCGATTGAAAAAATGCATTCAGTGAAGTGCGACGACTTAAAAAAAAGAAAAAAAACTGGGTGCATTTTTCAGAATGACTGAACATTCTCGCCAAACATGGATAGACTTAAAATTTCTTATAAAAAAGCTTTGGCAGTTGTTTGGCAAACAACAAGAGCCGGTGCTTGTTTACAACGCTCATTTTTTTCTTGATAGATGTAGAATGGCAATTTTAATGATCAGTCAGACAGGGAGAAACCCAGGGTGAAGTAGGTGGGTACTACTGTACCCCGCAGGGCACGGTAACCGCTTAAATGACTGTTCAACGAAAGATTGGCGAAACGTCAAAATGAGCAATGCCTCCAGGGAGTAGGGATGGGATACGGCTCAGACTGAGCCATCTCAATGTTTGAAGGTCTTCACTGAGCATTACTTCAAAGGGGAATTACTTAGACGATAAAATCAGTACTCTAGTGATTTGTTCTTATCAAATTAGCAATCTTTTAGTGGTAAGAAATAACGTACATAAGTTTTTGCTGCCCTTTTTCACGAATAGAACTTCCAACTTCCCTCTTACTACTCTGCTTGTTATTTATTTATTTTTATGCGGTATTTGTTTGTTTATTCCAATTTTGGAATTGAAAAGCGGTGCCCCTATCACATGTACCACTTAAAGCCGAGGGATCAGATACCGGTTGGGTAGACAGTTGGACCTCCCAAGTCTTCTATTGCTCCAAGGCCGCCTGGGAAGACAAAAACGCAGAGTTTCACCATACTATTTACCTGCATGAGCCATATTTCTGTATAAATAAGCTGCAATTCAAATACTAGTGCGATTCTGTTGCTATGTTACTTTTATTATTTTTCACATAAATATTAGTAATAAAAGTGTTGTGTTTTGATTAAATTCTATTATTTATAACCATTTTGATTTATTTCTATTTTTTGCAATTAATTTGATCAAATCAGAGCAATCCAGTTACTGTAAATTGGATTGCACGAAGAAACGATAGTCTTGCATCAAATAAGATGAACGCTTCCTTCCAGATGGGTAGTTGGAAATTGTGAAGCTCAAACTAATTTACTTACTTCAGTAATCTACAAGTAATCTGGAGTTACAAGACAATATACAAGGTCAGCTCACTAGCTATGTAAGTGACAGATGAATAACTCAAGGCACCCCGCCAATACAAACCTGATAAGCCACATATGTGATCCACTATCAAAATTGCAGGGACATCCTAATGCCCAGTTGGTCTACATGGGTTCGGGAAGGTTAGTTAGGGAGATCAAGAGACTTATGTTCATAATACGATCAATTCTGGAAGGAAGAGCTTGGGATCGGAGTGCGGTACAACTGAAGCATTCAGAATGTGGAATTCCAGATTCGATTTGTTCAACTGTTGAGATGAAACGGTGGTTTCAGTGTATTTGGAAGGCTGCTGTAGTGTAAATATGGCCGCTGTCGCAGAGAATATTTCTTCTTTGTTCTTTTGCCACTGGTGGCTTCCGATGGTGACGACGTAAATTCTATATCCTCATTGAAATGTTGTGCTGTGCTCGATTAGCAGGCTCTTTCTACAGCCCAAATTTTATTCAGAGAAAGATCTCCTTCGCACTCGACCTTTCAGTGACACCTCTCAAATTGCCTAAATTGATCGTTCAAAGCTTCTGACAGGGTATTTTCTGAATCGAATTGGCTTGAAGGGATAATGTCTTTACGGTTCTCCGCGGTGGATCGGCCTGCGCATTACTTTCTGACGAGGGTACACGGGGATTGTTAACGGGAGGAGGCGGGCGGGGAGGGGGGGTTGATGTTTCGTTAATTTGAAGCCTCTGAGGGGTTCCGAAACCACCTGGAGAGAGGCTGTAACGGGTGAACGCATTTGGAGAAAGACAGGGTTCATTCAAGTAGAACCACAGGGGGTAGACGAAACGTTGTTGTAGCAACTCTTCAAGGTAGCCGACAGTGGTCAAAAAATCTGCGAAAGCATCCCCCAGGTATTCGGAACAAGCTCCATTTGACCTATAATGTCTTTCTCACTGCGACTACTTCTGGAGGACATCCAGGCTCAGCTATGATCCACCAGCGTTTTTCGCTTCTAAAGAAGGAACATTTTCAGTAGCGGCACTGACGCCCTGGAAGAAGGTCGCTCAGAAGCTACACTGTACAATGGATATGAGAGAAGTATGAAAAGTGTGTTGATCGCTTTTACTCCAATGATTGAAGAAGTTTTTGGTGAACCTGATATATTGATTGGTCCTCGAAATTCCTCGTAAGAGAGCATGTGTAGGGATCGTAAAGAGCGTGTGGACGGACTGGAGAGTTATGACAACCGGCAATTCCCCGAAAACTCCAGCGGAGTTATTCGCTCCCTTGAGAGCGATGCCCACGCTAGGGAAGGGCCCCAGGAAAAAAAAAACTGATCCATGCCGTTCACTGAGCCTCAGTAGACGAAGTCTGAATTCCTGCATTCGAGGCTGTAGGAAAGTCACGCTAAGGGAGACGGTATGTTAGTTCAGTAAGACAAGGTACAGAACAGTGAATCCGGATAGCTTAGGAAGCATGGACAGAACAACGGTGACGATTATCTAAAATTCGATCAAAATATAATAATATTCATTATTTTGGTATCTCACTCTGTATTTTATTTTCTAATAACTATCATTTTTATTTTATTTATTTTATAATAGTTTAATACTTAATTTATGAATATTGCAGATATACTCGTATTAAGGGCACGGTTCACGATAAAAGAGGTTAGTGAGTTCTTCCTTTAGGAATACTCAGCGCCCCCCATGGGTGGTAGAAGGGACCCTTTCGCTCCCACAACCTCGGCGCTTAAGGCGTAGTGGAAGCCCCGTTGCTGCCGTAGTTCGCCTTCCCGCCTCTCGATCGATGTCACGTTAGACGAGTGTCGCGACAATACAGAT